ACAGATCACGAACTTATTATCATCAAAATATACTCGGATATCTATATCGAAATGGTTTTGGTGTTAAAAAAGACGATTATAAAGCATTCATTTGTTATCAAAAATCTGCAAATGCCGGGAATGCTGATGGAATTTATAATCTTGGATGTTGTTATTTAAACAATATTGGTGTAGAAAAGGATGAATGTATGGCATTCAATTATTATAAACAAACCGCAAGATTAGGTCATGTTAAAGGAATATATCATCTTGCCTATTGTTATCAACATGGAATAGGTATCGAAAAGAATGAAAAAGAAGCTTTCCTTTATTATCAAAAAACTGCTGAATTGGGGTACGTGAATGGAATGATACAAGTTGGGCATTGTTATCTAAATGGAATAGGAATTGAAAAGGACGAATTTAAAGCGTTCATTTATTATCAAAAATCTGCAAAATTGGGGAGTGCTAGTGGTATATATAATGTGGGATATTGTTATGAAAAGGGAATCGGTATTGTAAAAAATGAACATGAAGCATTCAATCAATATCTAACATCAGCCAAAATAAAACACGCTAATGGAATATATCGCCTTGGATATTGTTATCAAAATGGTATAGGTGTTAATAAAGATGAAGTTAAAGCATTTAATTACTATAAAAAAGCTGCCAAGATGGGAAGCGATAATGGTACATATAATGTTGGCATTTGTTATGATAATGAAATTGGTGTTAAAGAGGATAAACATAAAGCATTCGTTTATTATAAAAAATCTGCAGAAATGGGAAATGCTAAAGGAGCATTTAATGTTGGTGTTTTTTATAATAATGGAATTGGAATTGAAAAGGACGAATATAAAGCATTCTTTTATTATCAAAAGTCTGCTGAGATGGGATATAGTGAAGGGATGATTCAAACTGGATATTGTTATCAACATGGAATAGGTGTTAAACGTGATGATTACAGCGCATTCATTTATTATCAAAAAGCTTCTGAAATGGGAAACGCTAGCGGAATGTTTAATCTTGGTGTCTGTTATATTGATGAAATTGGTGTTAAAAAGAACGAACATAAAGCATTTATTTGCTTTCAAGAAGCCGCTAAGATGGGTCATACTGACGGAATATTTAATCTTGGTATTTGTTATGACGATGGAATTGGAGTTAAAAAAGATGAACGTATGGCATTCACTTTTTATCAAAAATGTGCTAAGATGGGACATACTGTTGGGATGAATCAAGTTGGGTATTGTTATCAAAACGGAATTGGGATCAAAAAGGATGAACATAAAGCATTTAATTGTTATCAAACATCTGCCAATATGGGAGATACTAAAGGGATAAATTTGGTTGGACATTGTTATCGAAAAGGAATTGGGGTTAAAAAAGACGAAAATATGGCATTTATTAATTATAAAAAATCGGCTGATATGGGTGATCCTGATGGTGCATATATTCTTGGATGTTGTTACCAAAATGGAATTGGTGCTGAAAAAGATGAACGCGAAGCATTCATTTATTACGAAAAAGCTTCAGAAAAAGGACACGCTAATGGGTTATTACAAGTTGGATACCGTTATCAACATGGCATAGGAATTAAAAAGAACGATAATATAGCATTTATTTATTATCAAAAACTCGCAGAACTGGGAGATCCTGTTGGAATATATTATATTGGATATTGTTATGAAAATGGAATCGGCGTTGAAAAGGATGAAAATATAGCTTTCTTTTATTATCAACAATCTTCTGGGATGAATCTTCCTTATGGAATATGTAATCTTGGACGCTGTTATGAAAACGGAATTGGTATTGAAAAAGACGAAAGTATGGCATTCTTTTACTATGAAAAATCTTCTGAAATGGGATGCTCTGATGGAATAATTAAAGTTGGTTATTGTTATCGAAATGGAATTGGTGTTAAAAAGGATGAACATATGGCATTCATTCATTATAAAAAATATGCTAACATGGGATATGCTACTGGAATGCGTAAAGTTGGCTATTGTTATCAAAATGGGATTGGCGTGGCGAAAAATTTACTTAAGGCTAATTATTGGTATGAAATGTAAGTAATTTATTTCCACTTACCATTCATCTCTTTTATATATAAATTATAACTTATCGATATGAATTAATAATAAATAGGGAAATAAATAATTTAACAGGTAATTTTCGTTATAGAATTTGATTTTTTTTAAAAAAATTTAATTTTAACATGATTTAATTTTAACAAATGAAACTTTTTTTTTTTTTTTTTTTAGTCACAAATGACCGGTCATCTAAAAATCCCGAACTAGATAATGATTTAATAAATATATTAAATAAAAAAGAATATTCGTTATCGTGGATTCCTTATAATGAATTTAAAAACGTTGAGGAGATGGGACAAGGTGGATTTTCAACTGTATATTATGCTGACTGGTTTGATTCAAAGAAAGACATATGGAGATCTTTTGCGCTTAAATTATTTCATGGAACAAGTTTTTACAATAAAGAGTTTATAAAAGAGGTAAGTTTTATTATAAGTTGAATCCTGTAAATGTTCTATATATTTCTCATTTTAATTATTTATTTTTAATATTAAAGTTGGAGACATATTGTGATATGAGCTACGAAAATCCATTATTTTTAAAATGCTATGGAATATCGAGAGACGATGTCACTAAAGATTACATCCTTATTTTAAATTATGCGAGAATAGGATCCCTGCGTAAAAATCTTCGTTTTATATCAGAAATGAGCTGGAATAAAAAGTTAACTTTGTTGCGTCGTATTTTACATGATCTCCAACTAATTCATTCTCAAGGATTTATTCATCAAGATTTACATAGTGGCAATATTTTACTAGATCAATTTTATAGTGCATATATTGCAGATTTGGGACTTTCGATATCATCAAATATAGCATCAAAAACGGAAGCTAATAAAAATAAAGTTTATGGTATTTTACCATATATGGCCCCAGAAGTTTTAGATGGAAAACTACATACTAAAGCATCTAATATTTATTCATTTGGCATCATTATGTGGGAAATTTTATACGGAAAACCTGTATTTTACGATCAAAATGATGAAATAAAACTTCAATTACAAATATGCTGTGATGATTTGCGGCCACCTATAAGTGAAGAAGCACCACAATGTTATATAAAAATAATGAAAGAATGTTGGGCAAAAGAGCCAGAAGAAAGACCATCTGTCGAAACAATTAATGAAATTTTTGCCGATTGGCAAGACGATCAAGAAATATTATTAGAATTATATAAATCGGATGAAATATTAGGATTACTTCGATATACATATAATCAAACATCTTCTGGGGCATATAATATGGGCAAATTTATTCCTTATACTAGATCACTTATTAATCATGTAATTTAGTCGTAAAAATAAGAAAAAAAGTAGAGTAGAATGCCTAAGCCAATGAATGATAGAGTCCGCGATGCTAGAAATCATACGAAAATCTATAAAATGCGGATGTCAAAAGAATGTGAGGGATTTTGGGAGTAAATCGGAACTTTTGGTAGTTCGAAGGCTTAAAGAACTAAATTCGAGTGAGTTATTCTTTATTGTGGTACAAGACGAAGAATAATGTATTTTCTTCTAAGATTATTATTTCCACCTTGTATAATAGCATTTATTATTATTATTATTATTATTATTATTATTATTATTATTATTATTATTAATCTAACATTTCATGTTAAGATTTCCTTTTATATCCCGGTATGAAAATTACTTTTTTTTTCAATACGTATCAAAAAAAATTTATTAATATTATAAATACACGTGAAAACATATTTTAATCATTCTATAATTCAAAAATTCATAGCGTTCTAAAATGTTAACTAGTTTTTACCTTTTTTAATTTCTAACAAAATTATTATAAAATTGTAAATAAAATTATTTTTTATTATTGTGTTTTGTGATCAACAAATTTCATACATGCACTCCACGAAATCCGGGAATCGGAAATATAGTAACGTTAAATACTAATCTACAATTTGGCTAGAAAAATTATAATAGCTCCAATTTTTTAAAATGAGTTCCAATATTAACTTTTTTTTTAACTTAAAACGAAGATTTCTTAATAATTATCTGATAAATTTCAATGTTTTGCAATAAGGTGTGTCACAATTTTTGTGAAGATCGAGGAAAATTCCGTATCTCTATATTCGTTGAAATCGGAAAATCATATTTTAAATTTATTAGGCTGTATATATATATAGTTTCTATTACATCGATACGTATTGTACGTATCAAATTTAGTGTGACAAGTGATCTCAGTACAGTAATTTGAAAATATATACAGTAATAAATGATCGCTATACGTACCTACACGTAAATCAAATGAAACAATACAGCAATAAGAAATTAAAAAAAGCTAATAGCTTATTTTAATTAACTAAATTGATAATGATACTAGGGTTTCAGAATTAACGAAAAATAGCGCATTTCGGAAAATAAATAGATACTTTAAAAATCGAATTATAATAAAAGAATTGAAATGGAAGAGCCCGGATAACCCTATTTCTCAGAGTAATTTATTTATCTGCACCAAACGTTTTATTTCCCGCGTAACAAAATTATAACAATTAAACTAATCCTAAAAAATTTCTAAATAAATCTATATCTTTTTCATACTAGATCATATCAAAATGTCAGTACGTAATATGAAATAGATAAATTAGATTGTTTCGAGTAGAATGAACTTATCAAGTGTGAGAATAGCACTATATTCATAGAAAAAAACATGAATTGCATATCTTAGAAAATGTTGCAATTGTAACTTTCAATAATTCATATTGCCAGATTAAACCAGTGTTACGGGGTGAATTATACGACTTAAAATTTATATAAGAAAAATGAAGAATTTATACGATAGGCAATTCGCCAGAATCGTAACAATAATGATTTAACAAAAGATTTAAAACACAATTTTTATGCAGAAAGGATTTACTAAAAGTTTATTATTTATTTATATTGATAACATGAAGGCTATCTTTATACTGTAACTTTTAGAGAGCTAAGAGGCATAGGAAGCTTTGAGTTTGATTTCTCTCACTACATTCTACCACACAGTCAAGTTTTTCCTTCAATCCCATCCTAATAATCTCTTTTTCACATTGCCCAAGGAATGTTCTTGCAAATGTTCTCTTTACTGCGTGCTTATCATTATCATCGGAACATTCCGCGGACGATCCCCTAGCCCTTATTTTATGATCGAATACTCCAAGGTCGATTAATTTTAACGTTAAATCATATGATGTTACAGTATTAATTAACGTTGATTGATAATTACGAGATCTACAGCGCACCCGTGGCACAAATATATAAATACCGTAGCGCTATTAAAAAGTAGTTTTTGGCATTAGGGTTAGGGTAAATACTAGAGCATCGTTAGAGGGTTTACTGACATTTACTCGACAATCACTTCCCCGACAACTATTTTCCCGACAATTATTTCCCTGACATATCACCGACATGACCATTTCCAACAATCATGTCATGTTAGGATAACCACCCTAGCATGACCACCAAAATCAGTTAAGTAATCGCTGTTTAAATCTGATCTGATCTCGTAACCCAGTAAAT